TGATATTTCAACCACTGCTTTGAAACAACTGGCAAGTCGCCTTGTTTGCACATATGACGATTAAACAATCCTTGCAACACTGTTGCGTGCTTCCTTGTATCCTACATTAGTGAGCGTATTGTAACCGAAAACTATATGGATCACAGTGTAACCCGGCACTTTGCTTTCAGGTGCAGAGGAGGGTCCTGACTTAGTGTAAGTTCCGTTCAGTGCTCAGCCTTCGACTCCGAATACAAGCGCTTCCCTTTCGCTACGGGATTCACCCCTTGGCAGACAACCGCAAATCTAGTGGACACCAATGTCTTCACGAAGTTGATAAAGATACTGTCCGTGAAATTTTTATTCTTTTTATTCCATTCTATCGACCGTTCTGTACATTTTTCTTCCGGTCTACTTCATTTCATATGTTTTCTATTCCACTTTGCACAGGGCGTAACTCTTTTCGGTGGTCAGCACCCAGTCTTTCACTGTCATAGCCACGTATTGCACTCTAAACAAGGTCTCGAATTCCAACATATCTCTGCTACAATCGGGGCTTTTTCCACAAAGCCCTTGTCTATACCTGACGTCGGATGTGCAAACCTCTACACGATCAAAATCTTTCTTATCTTAGTATTCAGTTGTAATCTGTCCAAGTTACGACTCCGCCTTCATGCGGAAGCACTGGTTAATGGCAACAATTCTGTCCTCCCTCACAAGTTGCTCATAGGACTAAACTGCTACTTTTTTGTATGTTGCCTTCGACGGTTCCTTCATTTTCACGAGTAATATACAGTCGCTAAAAACAACTGGAAGAACATTTCACTAGCCTGCTGAACTCGAGTACCCTGGTGAGTTGCTGAACATCTACAAGTGCCAAAAGCAGACGAGACATCCTCAGAACTCTCCACAACCTAAAGACGAAAATTCCAACGCTACGATATAAAAACAGAGTTCATATAAGTCGATGGCAAAACCATGTTGTTCAAACTTCAGTAACTCTGGAGGGAGGAGAAATTCGTCGATGACTGAAAGATGAACGAACATAATGCCGACCCAGACGGGTAAACATAACATCTGCTACTGGAACTATCGTGAACCATGTATTGGATTGTCGAATTTGGAACGGTTACGGCAGAAGATTGAGGGAAAGAAGGAACCTCTGAGTAAACCGACGAGAATTTGGAACCAATCATCATTTGATGAAACAATTCTACGGACTTCAGTTCCTCTGGTATGCCGTCGTCGATTTTTAATCCAGTCACCACCTGACAGTGTGCATGATCATACGCAACTTCGGTTGCAAGGGATGATATGAAAAATGAGATACGGATTTCGGATTAGCTGGACAACAAAAACAGGTATCAAGCATCAAGCACCTGCTTTTGTTGACACCTTTCCTCTCTGCTCTTTAGTGTACTAATAGGTCACATCCGACGAAACAGCTTAATTTAGGGAGAGATGCTCTCTTGAGAATGGAGACAAAGCTATAGATACCCAGGAAGTACCAATTATAGACTCGCTTGAACTATGTCAATGACATCGTAACGAAAGCAGGCTATTAGCTGAATTCTGCAAATACAACAATGGCGAGGAATCAAGAACGTGTAATTTGAAAACAGACCACCACAGAAGTCTCACAGTTCAGATATCTGGGGGGAGGGCCATTTTGTTGAGTGATGATGACAGTGAAAAGGACATAACAGAACGACTGTGCTTGCATCGTTCATGTTGACGAACCTTACGAATGTTTAGACTCAACGAATAATAGTCGCCACAAAAATCTGACTCCATCACGCTGCTGTCAGATCAGTTCTTTTTCATGGATCAGAAAGGCTGTACTTAGAAGAACACAGCAACATTGAACCGACAACGTGCATCAACGATGGCTGTGCCTGCTGCTGCAGATTAGTTGGCTCGTCCTCATAAGAAACAATGGAGTCTTGCAGCACTAGCCGACCTCACACCGATCGACACATCGAAGCTTCTGAGAGACAGACAGTTGGCGTGGTTCGATCATTTGCAAAGAAGCGATGAATCTTCATTGGCTCGTCAACTGAATACACGGGAACGAAACATAGACGGTGAAATATTGCTGACCAGCACATCACGTAACAGAGGAAATTGAAATAGACCTGTTATCGATCAGGAAACTTCTGCTTGTCGACGGAGTTAACAGATCCTAATATCAAAATGCGAAGTGGAGATGAGCTGAAATCACAAATCGTCAACAACCTCAAAGTTTGCAACGATGCCAAAGATGATTACGAAAAACAAGACCAATACATCGTCAAGTTCTAGCATACCAAATATTATAGCGTCGTCCTTCTTCCAAGGTCTTTATTTTACCAATTAAAAGCATCACTAGGTCGAGCAGGTTTATCTAAACCGAAGTTCATCCTGATATATTCCGAAAAGGTTTGTACCTTTTGATCAGATTATCCACCACTTTTACTGATCTCGCATACAACGTGAGTTCGCCTATGCACAGCAGGTGCAATATTTGACTGTTATCTTTCAACTTGTATCCTCTACTGACGTTATTCATCGGGTAAAGAATTCGAATTCAATGCCAGATAAAATCGATGTCGAGAGATTAAATCTAACCGGAAGATTACTAGCCTGGCTTTTACCGATTTCATGGACATTTTGTTACGCAGCAAAGCAGTTTGTCATCGCTTCGAAAAACTTTACTAGGCTATCGTTGAAGTTGTAAAGGATCAGGCATTCGGAAATCCAACCATGTGATATCAGATCAGATGTCTTCACAGAGTCCATCAAAGTCATGAGCGTACTGGTCTTTCTCATTCTGCAATCCAGATATAGTGCCTCCTTAAAAAGGCAGTGGTCTTTTGACTCTTCTGATATCACTATTTACTTTATGGTTACCATTTTATTAATTAGTTGAGTTTTATAACTAAATTTAGTTTAGTTCTATCATTCATGAAACCAACCTAATATCTTCAGATGCACTTAGAGCCATTAAGGCAAGCCAGAGCTTCATGAGATTTTAGAATGATCATATCAGTAATACATAAAATTTTTATTAATATATTAGTGCATAAGAGCTTCAGTGTGCAATGATAAAGGATCTAATTTTAAAATCACGCTACTGGGATAAAAATGAAACAACGCCCTTTGTCCTTAATTACTAAAACTACTATGCGTGGCTATATCTTAAAAAATTACATCTGTTTTCAGTATGAGACTTCTAAAATATCATGGGTTAGAATCTTACTTGATGTCTCAATGGGTACTTGAAAAC